TAGGGAGAGCCCCAGCACTGAGGCTGAGCAAGCCGGAGAAGAGGGAAGTACCCCTTTGCCAGCGCCCAGTCTGCGCAGTAGGTTTCGGCGCAAGGAGGGGAGGAGAAGGATGGGGGTCACAAGACTGTTATGCTGGGGGAGGTACAAGGACCGCCCACTCCCAGATTCTGCTAGCGACTGAGCCAGACATGAACTTGTGACGCTCTTCACTGTAAATAGTTAAAGGTAAAGGGACCCCTGACCATTAGGTCCAGTTGTGGCCGACTCTGGGGTTGTGGAGCTCATCTCGCTTTACTGGCCGAGGGAGCCGGCGTACAGCTTCCGGTCATGTGGCCAGCAGGACTAAGCCGCTTCTGGCGAACCACAGCAGCGCATGGAAATGCCATTTACCTTCCCGCCTGAGCAGTACCTATTTATCTACTTGCACTTTGACGTGCTTTCGAACTGCTAGGTTGGCAGGAGCAGGGACTGAGCAATGGGAGCTCACCCCGTCGCGGGGATTCGAACCGCCGACCTTCTGATCGGCAAGTCCTAGGCTCTGTGGTTTAACCCACAGCGCCACCCGCATCCCTTCACTGTAAATAGGTTGTACTAATAATAAAGCCTGGAAAAGACAGGTTGGAGTCTTGCCTGTTTGCTCTCGAGCAACCACACCACCACCTGACAACTGCCATTGAGAGATCTGGGGGAAGAAAGGCTGCGTCTGGTCGTTCTTCAGGAAGGTTGAATTCTGAGGGGGCAGAAACCCCTGTGAAACAACCCTTTGATTTGCAGCCACAACAGGGGTGCCAACCTGACTAAAAATATAGCGGGGCAGGTAAGCCCCACCCCACACAATCAATCACATGATGTAGTGTTCACACACCATTAGAGTGGGCATGCACATCAACTTTGGGGTGACTCAGCCCCCTCAAATATTTTTTCCCTTTTCTTTTTTCTTGGTTTTCACATATCACATTACAATACAGATGTACCAAAGCCAACACCATTTCCTCCCCATCCCCCCATACATTTACATTTATATTTTCTCAATTCATCATATTATTCTTTTATCCTTCCTCTCACTTCCTTCCGTCCCCTCTCGATTTCCTCCAATACAATTCACAATAATCTTTGCATTCTACAATCTTCTCAAATCATGTATATATTCTTATTATCTTTCCTTACTAATTTTTCTTCCATCCAGTACTTCACATTTTAATCTAGGCAGTATCTTTTTTGAGCAATATTTTGCCATATATTCATCAAAACATTTCCACTCCTTTTTAAATTTTTGATTTGACTGATTTGATTTGACGGACTCTCACAAGCGGGTTGGGGAAAGTGCTCTGACACTGACACCCACCCACCCCTCAAATATTTTAGTGGGGCTGAATACCCCATGGCCCCTAGGCACTGGCTCCTATGAGCCACAGTGTGATTGGGTGAAAAATTTATTCCCTTGACGTTCTGCTGCAGATTCATTGTGAAAGCCTCACATCTTCTCAACCAATTAACAAATGACCCCAAGAACTCAGTATAAGAATAGCATCTGCAGATCAGGCCAATGGCCCATTTGGTCCAGCATCCTGTTTTCACAGGGGCCAGCCCATTATGGAAAACCTGGAAACTCTTCCACTTGCCCCACCGCTTCCCTCCCGGAATCGGAACATAATGTCTGCAGAAACCGGGGTCAGGGACAGCAGCCAAGCAAACCATATCAGAGCCTTAGAGAAGCATCTTCAGACAATGCAAGCTTAATGATAGGTTCCCAAAAACAAACGTGGTGCATGTTCTCAGAATGCGCTCAATATTCCCCCCCCCAAACAGAAAGTGCCAGAACACTGGCCCTTCTTAGCTCAAGAATGACCAGCATCTTAAATATAAATGTAATGGGGCAGTTGAAAGTTGTTCAGGGCTGAGAGCATGACACCCTGTCCTTTTCTTTGGTCTTTGATAACATTTGATATCCCCCACTACAGTGGTACCTCCGGATGCAAACGGGATCCGTTCCGGAGCCCCGTTCGCATCCTGAAGCGAAAGCAACCCGCGTCTGCACGTGTGCGGCTCGCGTTTTGCCGCTTCTGCACATGCGTGTGACATCATTTAGACCGTCTGCGCATGCGCGAGCGGCAAAACCGGGAAGTAACGCACTCCGTTGCTTCTGGGTTGCCGCAGAACGCAACCTGAAAATACTTAACTTGAAGCACATATATCCCGAGGTATGACTATATTTAAAAAAGGCCTTTGGGAAATATTGAATGGGTGGCAATACCTGAGTCGACAGAGGAGGAGGAGGACTAGAACTAGACTTGGAATAAGAATACCTGCAAGAGCTTTTGGTTCTCTCCTCCCTTACACTGCTGCTTTTAATTGCATTCTGACTTCCTGCAGCTTCCAGATATGGACCCCTCAAAGAAAGTGAAGTTGGAAATCAGATCTGTAGAAACACCCAAGGTTCGCATCGAAGATGGCAAAAGTGTCATGGCAATCCATTCGACAATAGACGTCAAAACAGACCCAGACAACGAACCCGTCTGCACCATAGACATGGTAGGCAGAATTTATGTCTCACTCCCAGGGGCCAGCAGTTCCTGACATGTTTTCCTTGCGCTGCCTCCCCTGCTGGGCTTTCCCCCCACAAGCCCCCCCTGCCCCCTCCCCAAAACATATTCAGGATTTGAATGAACTGAGCAGGTATTTCACCCCAGGTTTTCCAGACGCCCGGTGCCACATTTTAGAAACTGGCTGATAAAGTTAAAAACAAGTCACTAGGATTTCTGGCCTCATTGCTAGTTTGCACATCAACAGCTGGACATTTCTCCCTCCCTCCCTCGCGCGCGCGCGCGCACACACACACACACACACCCCTTTAAAACATTTGCAAAGGGTGGAGCCTTTGTCATTTTCTCCCTCTGCTCCAGACTTGTGTCACTTTGGAGGGCAATGTGCTCACTTGGGCTTCCTTCTGTTGTTCCATTGCAGGAGCACAAATGGGATGCTGGCTATGAGCAGCTCAACGATACCATGAAAGTCTTCTTGCAACCGGAAACGGGCAGGTACTGAGCTGAGTATTCTTCCCGTCCTTCAACAAATCCTCAGTTGAAGAAGATGGTCTGCGGGCCTTTTCCAAGTCTATGGCTGTTTTTTACATGAGGTTTAAAACATTGTTTTTTCTAGGGATGTAAGAAGCAACCCTTCTTAAGGGACGCGGGTGGTGCGGTGGGTAAAAGCCTCAGCGCCTAGGACTTGCTGATCGAAAGGTCGGCGGTTCGAATCCCCGCGGCGGGGTGCGCTACCGTCGCTCAGTCCCAGCGCCTGCCAACCTAGCAGTTTGAAAGCACCCCCGGGTGCAAGTAGATAAATAGGGACCACTTACTAGCGGGAAGGTAAACAGCGTTTCCGTGTGCTGTGCTGGCTCGCCAGATGCAGCTTTGTCACGCTGGCCACGTGACCCGGAAGTGTCTCCGGACAGCGCTGGCCCCCAGCCTCTTGAGTGAGATGGGCGCACAACCCTAGAGTCTGGCAAGACTGGCCCGTACGGGCAGGGGTACCTTCACCTTTAAGAAGCAACCCTGGGCCCCTTCAAACCCCTTAAACATTCTCGTTTCTTTTATTCCATTTCTTTTATCACATTTCTTGTTATGTGAAATTTCAGTGGCGGGTCTGAACATGTGCACTTAAAACCTTGATTAGTCATTCTGCTCATTAGAATCACAATTGCTGCTTCCTTTCAGTAGCAGAGAGGGCACAGTTCATGGCATTTTCCTCTCACACTCATGAAGACCGCCCCCCCCCCATTTTGGTGGCATACATGAGGCTGGGCTTTTCCCCCACAAGGCATCCCTTCCAGATCCATATTTAAGCTCAGAATGAGCTGAGCAGGTATTTCCACCCTGTTTCAGTTTTGCTGGCATCCAATCAGTGATCTGTTCCATTGCACCCTGTCGTTTGCATTTTCTGTATACAGTACAAGATACATACTCTTTACACCAGGCATGGCCAAACTTGGCCCTCCGGCTGTTTTGGGACTACAATTCCCAGCATCACTGATCCTGTTAGCTAGGGGTGATGGGAGTTGTAGTCCCAAAACATCTGGAGGGCAAAGTTTGGCCATGCCTCCTTTACACCAAATAGACACTTTTCAATTCTGTTTGGTGCCTTCACTAGGGTGACACAATTTATGGGTGAATCTTTTATGAAGTACAGTCATACCTCGGGTTGAAGTAGCTTCGGGTTAAGCATTTTCGGGTTGCGCTCCGCGGCGACCCAGAAGTAACGGATCCCGTTCGCATCCAGAGGTACCACTCTACATGTATTTTCACATGTACTTCTTGTACACCAAAAACCCAAAGCAAAATGTGTGCTGTCCGACTGGGGGTTCTAGTCCAATCCGAAAGCTAGTTTGGGAATACAGTGGTGCCTCACAAGACGAAATTAATCCGTTCCACGAGTCTCTTCGTCTTGCGGTTTTTTCGTCTTGCGAAGCACGGCTATTAGCGGCTTAGCGGCTATTAGCGGCTTAGCGGCTATTAGCGGCTTAGCGGCTTTAAGAAAAAGGAAACAAACTCGCAAGAACTCGCAAGACGTTTCGTCTTGCGAAGCAAGCCCATAGGGAAATTTGTCTTGCAGAACGACTCAAAAAACGGAAAACCCTTTCGTCTAGCGAGTTTTTCGTCTTGCAAGGCATTCATCTTGCGGGGCACCACTGTATTGGATCAGGTTGGTCCTCTCCAAAAATGGAAGGAAATGAATTCCTTCCTCTCTCAAGCTCCCTGCAACTTCCCCTGCATCATGTGAAGGGGGGAGGGCCTTTCTTTTGTCCGTCTTGAATCTACAGCCCTTTTGTGGAAGAAGTACGGGGCGTTGAGGAAGGATTTGAAGGGAGATGAGAGGAGGAAAGCAGTAGTGGAAACCTTCAATATGACAAATAATGAAATATCACTAAGCACAAGAAAGCAGCCAAGGAGGAAGCGATGGAGACACTGGCATGTCCTCACATGCTGCCTTTCTTTCGTTTTGCAGGACAACAGCAATATCTGTGACTTCTCCCTCAGTCGGCGACATAAATGTAAGTGTGAGGTTGTCTTGGGCTACTCAAGAGGACACACGGAATTGCTGTCTTATCTCTTGAAGGATTTAAGGCATGGTGGGGAACTTCAGGTCCTGGAACCAAATATGACCTTTCAGAAACATCGCCTAGACCACCCCACCTCTGCTCTTCTCCACACCCTCCTTGAGATAGAAATTCTTCATGAAATAGTGGCTTTAGCCCTGTGAGAGATTCTCTGGTATACAATCGCATGCAGCCTGAACAGGAATTCTTCAAGATGGCAGGTCCCAGGAGGTTGTGCCTCAACATCTCAAGAGGCTTTCTAGAGAATTCCCACATTGTGCTCTGGGAACTTTTTCCCTTCTAACGTTTGCTCCGTCCTGATCAGTGATCCGAACACCTGCCTTGCCTGTGTGTAAGGTCTCATGTTTGATCTCCGCTGTTGAAAGGATCTCAGGTTGTGGATCTCAACCATGGGAGGGAGGTAGTCCATCCATTTGTCCTCCAGCACAAAGCAACTTCCCCTCTTATAATAATGATCCATACTTAAAGGTAAAGGGACCCCTGACCATTAGGTCCAGTCATGGCCGACTCTGGGGTTGCGGTGTTCATCTCGCTTTCTTGGCCAAGGGAGCCGGCGTACAGCTTCCGGGTCATGTGGCCAGCATGACTAAGCCACTTCTGGCGAACCAGAGCAGCGCACGGAAACGCCGTTTACCTTCCCGCCGGAGCGGTACCTATTTATCTACTTGCACTTTGAGGTGCTTTCAAACTGCTAGGTTGGCAGGAGCAGGGACCGAGCAACAGGAGCTCACCCCGTTGTGGGGATTCGAACCACCGACCTTCTGATCAGCAAGCCCTAGGCTCTGTGGTTTAACCCACAGCGCCACCCGCGTCCCATACTTAGGGATCCATACTTAGGGGCCATCAACTCACCAAGAAACTTGCCTGGCTCCTTCAGCAATGGAAACACCCCAAACTCAGAACAGTATTTCAATAGAGTAGGTTTTGTAAATATTGTTTTAATTCTAAAGAGCACATATTGATATAGGAATGTATTAGATAAAATGTAAAGTAATATACAATAATAAGAGTACATTCATTTGTAAAAAAGGAATATACAACAGGATAGACAGGAAGTCTAGTGTGTTGGTATGTATATGATTTTTTTTGGGGGGGATTTGTTTTTGTTTTTTCTCTTTGTTTTTTTCTTTTTTGTTGTTTCATTTTCTTTCTAGGTATATAAAATTTTATACAATTTTTGTACACATGTTGGAAATTATATTATAGAAAGTCCTGTAATGTAATATGACAGCATTTACCAATGTAATATAAGAATGTTAACAAAGAAATAAAATGCATACTCTAATAATAATAATAATAATAATAATAATAATAATAATAATAATTCTATTAGAGTTTAATTGCTTTTCAACAATGAGCCTTTATATGTTTTCATATTTTATCCATGTTGTTTTATTTTCTGTGAGCCATCTTGATTCCTGGTTTAAGAAAAGGGCAGGATAGATAGAAATGTTGTTGTTGTCATCGTCCCCTTACTTGAGTGTGGAGGACTAACACTGATTTCATATGCAGTTTGTGTATCACCCATAATGAAGACTTCCTCTTCCTCTTGTTTTAGGAAGACCAACTAAAGGAATATATGCAGAATACCATAGCCAGCAATTGCGTCCCAGGGATGAATGGTAAGATGATGATAATAATAATAATTAATAATGTCAGGGGCTCAGGAGCAGAGGCACAGGAAAGGGAAGAAATAGAGAGCGAGGGGGAGGAATCCGAAGGAAATGTTAGCGATGACAGCGGCCCGAGGTCTCTGAGTCTTTCCAGCGAATCGGAGGATTCACAGAAAGGGGCTCCCATGGTCAGAGCAAGGGGGGTGCCTAGGGGGACACCCCAGGAAGAAGGGGCCAGAGGGGACTCAGAGAGCAGCAGTTGGAAATCAGGACCAGCTTCCCCACCAGAGCGCAGTAGGGGGGAGGAGTCCCAGGTATCGGGAGCAGGCGGCTCACCGCCAGCGGGAGGACATGAGTCAGGATTGGCCACGCCTCCATCGGGGAGCGAGGAAACGGTCAAGAGGAAGGTCGAAAGCTGGGCGCACGCGCCAAGTTCAAATGTACAGGAGGGCGGCGCAGTTGGCAGCCCGGATAGGGAGCCAGGTCCCAAAGCCCGCCGAAAGGAGGGGGAGGAGTCAGGGGGGTCAGCGTCAGAAGAGTCCAGAAAGGAGGAGACCCCGGGGGGCAGAAGGACCCAGAGGAGAAAGGAGAGACGGAAAAGGTGGAGTAAGATTAGAGCCTTAAGTTGGTGTACAGGGGGTGGAGACTCAGATGGAGCTTCGCCGGCCTAGCCCCTAAGACGTAGAGCTGGGGCGCTCCGGTTTGGAAATGGAAACTGTACTTCAATAAAGACTTTTGTATATTACTACCGGCTAGCGTTGGTCCTCTGTGAGCTGGGACCCGGAGCCAGCTCTGACAAATAATAATTTATTTATTTATACCCCGCCCATCTGGCTGGGTTTCCAGCAACTCTGGGCGACTTCCAACAAAATATTAAAATACAAGAGTCCTTCAGATATTAAAAGCTTCCCAAAACAGGGCTGCCTTCAGATGTGATGTTTGCTTAGGCTGGTTGCCATATTTCAAACAGTGAAAATCTGGACAGAAAAGTTGTAGATCTTTTTTCTTTTTTTTTTTAGTTTTGCACAAAGTTGTTGAGCTGTGTTGGCAAATCCCCTGTTTTTGAGGGAAATCGCCAAAAACTACACTGCTGACATGCGTTGCCATACGTACGGATTTCCCCAGACATTTTTTCGATTCCCACCCAGACGCTGCTTCTGACTGCAGTATTCTGGATATGTCCGGAAGGGCTCATTCCTACGTACGTTTTGCTCCATGCTTTCCAGGCCCAGGTCCACGTTTCCCCCAGTCTGTGTCTGAGTGCTCCTCGCCCCTCCAATCTCCCTAGAAAAACCTGCTCTTTAACTCTCCCTAGAAAAACCTGCTCTTTAAATCAGAACAAATGGCAACTTGGGTTTTCCGCCTGAAGGTGCTGCATAGGCAGGAGAAGGGTTTTGGCAGTACAATGACTTCAGCCTTCAGAAGTAAGACCTTAAAAATAAGGGACCAGCAGCCAAAATAAGGGATTTTCCAAGCACAGGTATGTTCAACTTCTGAGCCCCTCCAAGCCAAAGGCAGAAAGCCCAGCCAGCAGCCAAACGAAGCCTCAAGCGGTGGTTCCCACAGCGCAGCAACCCGGCAAAGGGGATGCAGCAAGGAAAACCACTGTCACCTCTCCGCTGGGAAGCGCTGAGCAAAGGCGAGTCCCCAGGCAACGCGGCCGATTTGATCGGCACAAGGCATGCAAGCTCCCCCCCCCAGTCGTTCTTAGACTCCTTATTGCATGAGCAACGCAGCCAAGCAACACAGTTGGAGCCAGCAGGGAGGGAGGGAGGGAGAGGAGCTGCTTCCTTCGAAACTCGGGAAATTTAAGGGACATCATCAATAAGGGACAGCAGCGGGACACGGCGCTGGGATAAGGGACTTTCCCGCCAGATAAGGGACGGTTGACAGCTATGAGCAAGACTTCCTGCCACTCTCTCTAAAGCCAACGCGACTTTCTTCTTTGCACTTTCCAGATGCCCTGGAAAAGAACCAGATGAAAATGCCCAACCTGATGGGGGCTGACTATAATCATTCTGCATTCAAGATGGTGGAGGTCAGTGTGGGGCAATGCGCTTGCCAGCCTTGCGTTGGCTTTTCCTTCCTGCGTGGTTGTCTGATGAACAAGCAGGCTGGTTTTAGCTTGAGCTATGAGATCCCTGCATTGCAGGGGGTTGGACTAGATGACCCCCAGGGTCCCTTCCAACTCAACAGTCCTACGATTCCATGACCCCTGTACTCCAAGCCACTTGGAAATAGCCTGAACTTTGTGTGCTGTGTTTCGTTGGTGTCATGGTGGTGGCACTTGTGTGCCCTTTCTGATAAAAATACTCTGCAGAGGTGAGGGGGGCAAAAAAATAGAGGGTCAAGGTTTTGGGATACTGCTGGGGAGACGGGGCATTTGGCAGGCCCCCAGCTGGCTCCAGCCACCGGCCAGCAGCTGGGCGATCTCCAGTTACAGCATCAATCAGCGACACGAGCCTCAGATATGTTTAGAGACTCGGCACGCTCTTATCAGCAGAGTGAATAAATCCTCACAACAGAAGTGGCGGACAGAGACATGTGTGCGCGTTATTGACAGGCGTTTATTCAGCATAGCTCAGGAACAAAGGCAAAACATGTCTGCTTCCCTTCGTCTCCAGCAAACAGCAATAGCAAAAGCAACATACAAGGGAAGTTCCCAGCAGACTTGTGCTGGAAGTAAATAGGCATGTGACACACAACAGTCATGCCTGTTCCTCTTAAGGCGGAACGGAACTATATCCTAACACAAGGAGGGTCAGAGAGTGAGAAATGTTCCTATTTCCATCTGAGGAATGTTGGAGGTATGATATTAGCTGTGCCCCCCCCCAAACGAATTCAGGACAAGATCCAGAGAGGATCTGAGTTGGTCCGGGGTGGGTTGGCCTGATTTTTTGGGTGAGGGGCAGATTGAGGCCATGGGGCAGATTGAGTTGTGGTTGAAAGGACACACAGAGCCCTTTTTTTTAAAAAAAAAAATGGCAATACTAATGGCTTTCCCCCACCACCTTTGCAGGGTGTCGTGATCATTGAAGTGGACCACAGCAACGTTGAGGACGATACCATGGTGCACTTGGAGAAGTTTAAAAACATGTCTGTTTAAAAACAGGCTAGAAACCTGCACCTGCATCCAAGAGGTGTTCACCCAGCCACTTGATCCAAAACGAAAACAGCACATCCACCTAGAATGGGTCCCTTCCAACTCGACAATTCGATCTGGAGTGGGCAGCGATTGGAGAACTCTTCTTCCTCGCCTGCCTGATAAACGCTCACCCCCATTCCCAGTTCTCTAGGCTGTAACTCTCTGTCCGGAGGCTTGGAATGATATTTGGCGGGTTCTTTCAATAAAATAACCCATGTTTCCTCTCCTGCATTTCTTTTGTTTTCCTTTGGCCAGAAGCCTGCCAGGAATCTGTGGATGTTCAGAAACATGAACGTCATGTCAATGAGTTCGGCTCAGTGTCCACGCAATTCTGCAGACAGAAGCAGGCAAATCTTCTCCAGCGGTTCACTATTGTCTGCTTCCTGTGAGATTTTGCTCTCTTATTTATTTTTTAAAAGACATTCATATACTGCTTAATCCCTCACACTTCTACGCTGTGGACAGAAAGACAAATCATGCATGAAACGAAGTGAACAAACTATATCGTAAACTGAAACACTACCTTAAAATGCCTGATGGAACAAGAGCCACAGGCTTCGGTCCACAACACTGAACAGATGGCCTCTAGCAGTTACAAGACATATTTCAAAAAGTAAAGGACCAGGATGCCCCAAAATTGTTGATTTTTTTTTATAGGATACACCAAAAACACACACAATTGATTTGCCTAAGATCCAGGTTAAAGCGCCACCTTTCGGAAATCCACCCAGATGTCAATTCCGCCTTTGAAATCCCAGTAATGTCCAGGAAAACCTGGATGTATGGCAGAATTGCGACACATGCATTTGGGCCATGGGTGCCACAGAGACAGACCCAAAGGTCTCAGTTATTGGGATGGTATATAAGGGATCAGGTAGTCTTGAAAAGAAGAACGTAAAAAACCATGAGCATAAGAACATGAGAAGAACATTTGCTGAGTCAGGTCAATGGTCCATCTAGTTCAGCATCCTCTTCTCACAGTGGCCAACCAGATGAGTGTGGAGAACCCGTAAATGGGATTCAAGCACAAGACCAGCTCTCCCCTGCTGTGGTTTCCAGGAACTGGGATCCAGAAGCATTTCTGCCTCCAACTGTGGAAGCAGAGCAGAGCCACCTTGGCTAGTATCCATCAATTGTCCTCTCCTCCTCCATAACTTTGTCTCATCCTCTTTTAAAGCCATCCAGATTCGTAGCCATCACTGGGGGAGGGAGTTCCAAAGCTTAACGATGCATAAAATCAACACCATTTGGATCCCTTCCAGTCGGGATTCAGGCCTCATCATGGTACTGAAACTGCCTTGGTCGCACTGGTCGATGATCTCTGGTGGGCTAGGGACAAAGGTGAGAGCTGTTTCCTAGTTCTCTCAGCGGCTTTTGACACCATCAACCATAACATCCTTCTGGACCGTCTAGAGTGTCTGGGAGCTGGGGACACTGTTATACAGTGATTCCGCTCCTTCCTCCTGGGCCGTGTTCAGAAAGTGGAGGGGGGATGAGTGTTCAGACCCCCTGGCTCTCACTTGTGGGGCCCCTCAGGGTTCTGTCCTCTTCCCCATGCTTTTCAGCATCTACATGCAGCCGCTGGGCTGAGGTCCAGCGCCAAGGGCCTTCTGGCGGTTCTCTCCCTGCGAGAAGCCAAGTTACAGGGAAGCAGGCAGAGGGCCTTCTCGGTAGTGGCACCCGCCCTGTGGAACGCCCTCCCATCAGATGTCAAAAAGAAGAACAACTACCAGACTTTTAGAAGACATCTGAAGGCAGCCCTGTTTAGGGAAGCTTTTAATGTTTAACAGACCACTGTATTTTAATACTTTGTTGGAAGCCACCCAGAGTGGCTGGGGAAACCCAGCCAGATGGGCGGGGTATAAATAATAAATTATATTCTATTCTATCACCACATCAAATCAACAATAAACTGAAAACAGATTGAAGCATACACCCACCTCCTGGGTGGCTTTCTGTGGTCAGGAGGAGTTTTTGCGGACAGTGAGCTAGGACCGCGATCCAAATCTGCCCCGCTCCTTCCCATTCTGCTGTTGAGCTGGCCCTTAGCTGGTGCCCTTGAAGGCTTCCTCTCCCTGAAAAGGTCTTTGCATACGTTTCGCCAGAAAGCTCTCACAGCATAACACAGAGAACTATCTCGTTTCTTCTGTGTCCTGGAGAAGCCTTCTTTGAAAATCATGCAACTACGTTTTCAGAGGAGGAACGTGCGAGAGACAACTTCTGCAACTCATCCAGGCACAGTTACGGTTACTGTCACAGTTCTTTGTTTCCTTTGACTGATTTGTGCAGCTGTATTCTTGAAAATTAATAAAGACTATATATATATAGACATTGAAAAGTTTTTTGCCCTTGGGAATATAGGGAAGCAGTGCCTGAAAAATCCAGAGGAACCACCCTTAAACCTTCCCGCCTGTATATTTATTATTATTTATTTTTTTAAAAGTTGTATACCGCCCTTCATCCTAAGATCACAGGGCTGTTCACAACATAAAAATACAAAAGGAGAACACAAAATACATAATAAAGCAAAGACAAAGACCAAGTAATAACTCTTCTAGGGCACAAGGCCAGGCTCAAGGGAGCAGAGATGGACTCTTGGCTCTTTCTTCAGTTATTGCTCATTTATGGTCGTCAAGGTGTAACAGGACCCCTCCACTCATTGGAGGGAAGAGTAAGGGCTTCACCACCAGAAATAACATAAATGACAAAAGGAAACTGGATGTCACCAAAGTCCTGCTTCCTGCCTGCACCCCTCACAAGCTACCTACATTCTTGCAAGGTACCCAGACAGGACAGTGTCCCATATATATGTTTATTCGGGTGTCAAAGGATCATTCGGAGTTCCTTGGCTGTGCAATTATGAGTCCAGTGGCTGTAAGGAGAAAATGAACTTATCCTTTGCAGTTAAGCATAAAAAGGTAAAGGGTAAAGAGACCCCTGACCATTACGTCCAGCCGTGGCCGACTCTGGGGTTGCGGTGCTCATCTCGCTTTATTGGCTGAGGGAGCCGGCGTACAGCTTCCGGTCACGTGGCCAGTGTGACTAAGCCGCTTCTGGCGACCCAGAGCAGCGCACAGAAACGCCCTTTACCTTCCCGCTGGAGCGGTACCTATTTATCTACTTGCACTTTGACGTGCTTTCGAACTGCTAGGTTGGCAGGAGCAGGGACTGAGCAACGGGAGCTCACCCCGTCGTGGGGATTCGAACCGCTGACCTTCTGATCGGCAAGTCCTAGGCTCTGTGGTTTACCCACAGTGCCACCTACGTCCCACAGTTAAGCATAGTGTTCGTAATAATAACAATAATTTTTATTATTTCTACCTCACCCATCTGTCTGGGTTGCCCCCGCCTCTCTGGGCAGCTTCCAACACGTATAAAAACATAAGAAAACATCAAACATTAAAAACCTCCTGTCAGAGCTGCTTCCAGATCCTAGCTCACAGAGGATCACGCTAGCCAGCGGTCACTTGTAAAAGTCTTTTATTGAGTTACAGTTTCCATTCTCAAGCTGCTGCGTGCAACTCTACGTCTTATGGCTAGACCGGCGAAGCTCCGTCTGAGTCTCCGCCCCCTGTACACCAACTTAATATCCTAGCCCTGTCCCACCTTTTCCGCCTGACTGTTCTTCTCTGGGTCCCTCTGCCCCCCGTGGTCTCTTCCTTCCTGGACTCTTCTGACGCTGACCCCCCGGACCCTCCTGTCTCCTTGCGCCGGGCTTTAGGACCTGGCTCCCTTTCCGGGCTGCCTACTGCGCCACCTTCCTGTGCATTTGAACTTGGCGCGCGCGCCCAACCTTCCACCTTCCGTCTAACCGTTTCTTCGCTCCCCGATGGAGGTGTGGCCACTCCTGACTCGTGCCCTCCCTCCTGTTGTGAGCTGCCAGCGCTTGATCCCTGGCGCCCTTCCTCTTCCCTGCTCTCTGGCGGTGACGCTGGTCCCGATTTCCAACTGCTCTCCTCTGAGTCCCCTCTGGCTCTATCTTCCTGGGGTGTCCCCCTAGTCTCCCCCCTTGCCCTGGCCACTGGTGCTCCTTTCTGTGAATCTTCTGATTCACTGGAAAGACTCGGAGATCTCGGGTCGTCGTCATCACTCATCTTTTCTTCTGCCTCCTCCCCCTCGCTCTCTGTTTCCTCCCTTGCCCTTGCCTCTGCTCCTGAACCCCTGACATCCATCCCCCCCTCGAAGCCCCCTCTTCCCCCCTCCCCTCCTTCCGGTGCGGGAGCTGGGTGCTGCCGTGTCAGGGGGACGAATGTCGGATACAGTTCGCTTCCCGTGGCGGGCCTCCATCTGAAGTCTTCCGGTTCTTCCTCCCTGCTCTCGTCGACGACGGTCACCTCCGCTTCCATCTCTGTGCCGCCGTGCTCGAAACCCGGGTCGTCCCCGAAAACGTCCATGTCCGTCTCCCCCTCGCTTCCTTCTGGAGACGTTGCTCGTCCCGGACCCTCCAGCCACTTTCTGCGGAACTGCTCCTCTGGTCGATCATCCCACCAATACGAGGGTTCTGAAGCAGATCCCGAGGGTGACCCCTCCGGGGAACGGGCGTCTCGTGTCGGTTCCTCGTCCGAGTCGAACCCCCGGAACGTGCTGGCTGAAAGCGTGGGCGTGAAAAGCCAGTCGTCGAAAAAGTCTGCTGGCATTGGCCTATGTGGGAAGAGGGCATGAAACTCTTCTTTGAGCAGAGGTTCGTCTAAAGCGTAGCCCGGCACCCAGCTGTTGGCACTGGCCGGGGTGCCCTCCTTGGCGAGAAGGTATTCTACCCCCTCTTCCCCCCATCTGGAGTCCAAAATCTCTGTGACTTCGTTGATGTGCCCCACCTGTGCCACTCCCCCTTGCTCGGTTCTCTCTCGGAGCGGACTCGGTGCCGTTCCTGGTTCCTGAAACCTGTGAGGTGCCTTGTAGGGAGTGAGCACCGATCTGTGGAACACCGGATGCATTCTGGAGCCCTCCGGAAGCGCCAGCCTGAAAGCCACCGGGTTGACCTGCTCTTCGACTTGGTAGGGCCCCAGTTGTTTATGCCCTAGTTTCTTCTTCGCCAACGACCTGGCCGGCACTGCGTGGGCTGCTAACCAGACCCAGTCTCCCACATGGATCTCTTCGCCAACCCTCCTGTGTTTGTCCGCTTGTACCTTGTATGCGTGTTTAGCCAGCTCCAGGTGCCGCCGAAGCTGATCGTGGACTTCCTGCAACTCCGATGCGAACGCATCTGCTGTCTGCGGCTCCCCCTCCCCCAT